AAACTATTGCCCACTCCCATCTTTAGTCCCGGTTGGTAACACCAACCGGGACTAAAGATCGATCTTTAGTCCCGGATTCGTAGTCCCGGTTTGAAAACCGGGACTATTGGGGGTTACAAACCGGGACTAAAAATGATTTCTCCACTAGTGACTAAAAACGATTTCTCCACTAGTGACACGTGACTTGTGGATTGCGGTTGCCCCTCTCTCGCACCGACTTACATACCACTTACATTAGAGTTATATTGTAATTACATGCTAATTATATTATATTTACACTAATGTTAGATAGACAATCCCATAAATATTAGACATCATATGTAAATGTGACACTTTCCTTTCCTCAGTGTTGCACTTAGATCGATCCATCCCTTCGTGTTTGTAGCGAGCCAAGCCAAGCCGAGCTTCCCTTGCACCAAGCTTTCACGAGCCTCGGCTCGGCTCGTTTTCACCCCTAGTTCCTGCCCATCGGCTAGAGGTCCGGAGCATCCATCCCACACCAACAGAGGGAACCTATCCTTTCCATTGTGTTCCCTTGATTGGATGCCAGATCCCTCGTTCCCTCGCTGTAATAAGAAAACAATAACAATAAATACATAAGAAGGGACTCTCATATTAGAATTTTTTAAGAAGAGTGAGGTTGCCTGTAGTTCCCTTCAAACTTCCAAAAATTTCATCCCATTAAATGTTTGAACACATATATAGATCATTAAATGTGGACAAAAAAAAACTAATTGCACAGTTTGCATGTAAATTGCGAGACGAATATTTTGAGCCTAATTACGCCATGATTTGACAATGTGGTGCTATAATAAACATTTGCTAATGATGGATTAATTAGGCTTAATAATTTCGTCTTGCAGTTTACAGGCTGATTATGTAATTTGTTTTGTTATTAGACTACGTTTAATACTTCAAATGTGTATCCATATACGTGAAAATAATTTTGGGCATGAAAGTAAACACGGCCTGAGTTCGAATCCCGTCGACTAGCACACCACCGTGGTGCTAGTTACTTCCTCCGTTTCACAATGTAAGTCATTCTAGCATTTCCCACATTCATACTTATGTTAATGTATGTAGACAGATATATATGTCTAGATTCATTAGCATCAATATGAATGTGGGAAATGCTAGAATGACTTACATTGTGAAACGGATGGAGTAGAAGATTCCCGGGCCTTTCTGCGTCCCCTTGCTGTACGAGGACACCACCTCGGCGGCACACGGATAGAGATCTGAGATGATCCAAACTTGTGTTGCAGGCCTAATATACTCATATGTTGGCCTGAAATTCTTGGGCAAATCCAGGCATGGCGATGGTGAGAGTGAGAGAATGAGAGAAACGAGCACAACCTTTTGTTCTTGATCTTGGCAGTAATGTAGTATGATATGAAGGGAATGCAGTTGGCACTACAAACACAAAACACACACTGCTAGTCTGCTACGGTCTAAGCCACCTTTATGAGAGAAGGTTCCAACCTTTGATTATACGCTGCCTGCAAGAGAGCTATCGATTCTCATCGCAATTTGCAGCTACTAGTAGGAAAGAGCAGAGCCCCAAGTCAGAACACACCGAAGGTAATCACAAGGTGAGCTTGAAGTGCTTTGAGCGCAGATTGCTTCTGAAATACTTCCTCATTACTGGTGCAAGAAAGATAAACAAGAGCGGCAGCAATCAAGGATGTTACGCATGCATATTAGTCATGGCCAAATCGCAGTATGCCTCTGGTTAGTTAAGCTACATTCTACTGATACTTCATGATTTCAATACCATTAAGTAACCGTGGAAGTTGCGTAGGAGTACTCTTCTTGTTTCCTGAACAGTGTTTTTATAATTCAATCAATTATAGTATACCTACACTGAATTATCTAACCAAGACCCTTCAACTGAGACAGGCTTGTTGTAGTTTTTTTGCCGGGTCGGGCTTTTTGTAGTTTGCACTACACCAGATTGTGGTCCTGCACTATACTGAATCTTCTGCTAATGCACAATATCGTTATTCAGCAATCAGCTTTACAAACTTGGGTTGTTTTTCCTTATTGGATCAGTGTCTGAACTCTGAAACAACAACTATACACCCTTGCCAAGCCAAATCAGCACCACAAAATTGATGAAACCAATGCACAATTTGAGTTTTAGAGAGGTAAAAGCAGGGTTCACTCTATCGGAACATGCCTTTGTATCGGGGGTTACCGACATCCCGAAATTTCAGAAATTTCGGTCCGAAATTTCCGAAATTTTAAGCAAAATTTAGTTGAATTTGAATAAATATTACCCCAATTCATGAAAAATTTAAAAAATTGAAAAATTTCAGCCGAAATAATATCGTATCGGAGGTGACTGAAATGACAGAAATTTCCGAAATTTCAGTCCAAAATTTCCAACCCTGGGTAAAAGTATACCGTAGCATTGCCAAAAACTGAAAAAAAATCAAATCTGTATCGACCAATCATGTATAAACAAAATAAATCTGGCTGAGGAAATTGGCTCCCTAGCTCCAGCCATGGCTCTGCTGCTGCTGCTCCTGGAAGGATGAAGCTGAACCACCACTTGTGGAAGGCAATGATGCGATACCAAAGCATTTCCTCTCCCAAAGGCAATAGGAGATCAGAAATGCTAATTCGTGCATACGCGCATTCGCAAGGAACGGTTTCTGACGGGTGGCAAACATACAGTATGTGGCTCAGTATAGTGTAGACTATTTAGAAGCTGCACTATACACTTATAAATGTCTGTTTGGGGAGCTTATGCAGCTACATTCAGTACATGCCACCCAATTCGCAGCCCTATCAGGATTTGCCATCCAATCCATGTGTACTTTAGAACGTGCCATTGGGGGGAGCGAATTCCTTCGTTTCACGCCACTCCGTCCGGTTGCCGCTAGCGCTGTCCATCCATCCGTCCGACGCCCGTCCGCGCGAAGCCGTCTCCGAGCTCGGCCACCACTGCCGCCGTCGCATCTAGCACCGAGCTAGTCCACCGCCGTCGCTATTTGGCATTTGCACCGTCCACTAACTCGGCCGTCGTCCCCGACCTTGCATCTCGTTGCCGCTAGCGCCGTACCCGAGCTCGTCCACCGCCATCCCCATTCATGCCATCCGCAAGCTCGGCCACCGTCGCCGCTAGATCCGTACCCGAGCTCGTCCGCCGCTGTCACCATTCGTGTCGTCCGCCTATCCGCATGCTCGGCCGCCATCCCTGACCTCGGTGCTGGAAGTGGCGACGAGCAATGGCGAGAGACGGAGGACATGGCAACGGATGGATGGACAACGTTGCTTCGGATGGACGGAATGACGCGAAATGAAGAAATTAGCTCTTGTGATGGCAGATTCTAAAAGACACACGGATTGGATGGTTGATCCTGAACGTGCTACAAGTTGGATGGTATATTTTGAAATTTCTCGAATTAAAAGCTCCCCAAATAATTTAGCTTTTTATCTAGATTTTGTGAAATTGTACTTATAAGATATAGAAAATAAACGAGAAGATAAAAACTGAGTTTCTTAGAAACGGATATCAACCAACTGCTTCTTGGATTCTTCATATTCTTATAGATTGCCTACTAACCTTATTTATCCAAATACCCCTTTAAGGGCAATAGCAATGCGTCCTATCTTATTGAGGAGCCCAAATGTCCACATAAGAAGAAAAACAGTCGAAGCTCCCCTCTCCACCGTGCACTCGTAGCTTTAAGTGGGTCCACCACTTTTTCTTTTCAGGTCGGCCCCACCACCTTTTCTTCCCCTTCCGCCTCTCTCTTCCTCTCACTCGGCTCCCACGTGCCCCCTCCTCTCCCCCTCCCCACCACACTGACGCCGCAGATTTGCGAGCTCATCTCCGGCGGCGACTCCCTCGCCCCCTTCTCTTCCTCTCCAGACCCATCTCCTCCCCAACCCAGGGGCGAAGCCAGGATCTATAGTTAGGGGGGTGTGGGCAGGGCGAACAAGTCATAAGTCAGAGTAAGCTATGCCAACGACAAAACAGGGCATCATGTGTTCTGCCTAAAAAAAGCTTGAATTTAGCTCTTTAGTTGTATCATTGGATGTTTGACAGTTTGAGACTTGAGTCACCATGCTCGACAGCGAGATGCAATGGGAGGACGGAGAGATGTGTGAAGCCGAAGCAATTTAGACGAGGAGTTGATTTGTGTTGTCTCTCCGTCTCTTTCTTATTAATTAATTTTCTATATCATGTTTATTGATAATGGACTAATTAACATGCTAATGCGCTAAATAGTATAGCAGGGAGGGGGCAGATAGGGGGGTGTTGGCCCCCTCCGGCACCCCCCGTAGCTGCGCCCCTGCCCCAACCGGCGGCGGCAGCTCCCTCCCCCTCTCCCTTACCCCACCAACCCCACCTCAACTCACCGGCGGCGACGAACTCGTAGCGGAGCAGCGGTGGGGTGGCCCAAGTGGTGTTGGCATTGGTGCTGGGTGGAGTAGCCGCGGGGGACGGCGAGGTCGATGGAGTGAGAGCGGTTGAAGAGCGGCCATATTCACCCTTCCTCTCGTCCCCTGATTCACCACGGTGGACAACAAGGTCGGTGGTGCAAGAGCAGCGGACTGTGAGGTCGGCGGCACATGAGCGGTTGAAGAGCGGCCAGATCCACCCCTCTTCTCGTCCCCTGAATCAACGACGATGTCAGCGGCGTGAGAGCGAGGGACGGCGGACGGTGAGGTCAGCGGCGCTTCTCCTCCGAAGCGGCACAGACGCCGACTCATCTACCTCATCCACGGCCATGGCTAGCATCAGCCTCGAGTGTGGGCTAGCCTGAGTGCCTGACAACGCTGACAAAAGGTTGATGAAGAACGTGTGTCTCAATATGGTCACACGTTTTTGGTTTGCTCACGAGAAATGCAGATGTGGCTGAAAATCTTCTATGTGTAAGCTCAAGGCTGAATGCCACGTCACTGCGCTGTGAAAGCCCTAACAGAACCACAGTGCCCTGCACTGTCCCGCTTCACCGCACCGTTCGCCTAGGCGGCGCAGATTGAGATATCAATTTGACATGTAGCCACTTTATTCGAAGAATTTGCATACACACTGCTCAGATCGACCGCTTCGACTTCCCCCTCCCTCGCCGGAATCCACCCCCACCTAATCGGCGGCCCAGGTGGACTCAGGAGGCGGAGATGAACGCCACGACGCGGTCCATGAGCTCCTTGGCCTTGGCGCACTCCGGCTTCTCCAGGAAGAACACGTGCCCCTCCCCTTCCGACTCCAGCCACGCGGCGCTCCCTCGCCACGCGCTCGCGGCCACCGCCGCGTGGTACGCGCATCCCCGCGCCCCGGCCCAGTCCTTCTCGCCGGTGCAGACGAGCACCCTCTCGCACCGGAGGTTCTCCAGCCCCGCCGCGCCCCCCGCCGTGGGGTTCATCCTCGGGTCGTCGGCGCCGCCCACCGCGCCCGGGCACGCGAACTCCCAGATCTTGGCCATGTCCCTGGCCGTCGCCTCGGACTCGCCTTCGATGACCGCGTTCCCGCCGAACCAAGGGTGAAGGAGTATGGCGCCCTCGATCCTCGGCGCTGGATGGGAGGACGCCGCCCTGATCATGACGTTGTGAACCATGTTGCCGCCTGCGCTGTCTCCGGCGAGGAAGAGGCGGCCGTTGTCCGCGTGCTCGGCGAGCCACTCGTCTTTCCCCGACGCGGCCCACTGGAGCGCGGCCCAGGCGTCGTCGTAGGCGGCGGGGACGGGGTGCTCCGGCGCGAGGCGGTACTCCACGGAGACGGCGACGACGCCGGCCGCGGCGGCGAGGGACGCGGCGTAGCCATGGTACGTCGTGGAGAAGGCCGACTCGATCACGAAGGCACCGCCGTGGAAGAAGACGAGGACGGGTAGCTTCTTGGACGGATCTGGGCGGGCGGGGAGGAAGACGCGCACGGACAGGCCGGTGTCAGCGTCGACGACCACGTCCTTGGACGTGACGCCGGTGGCCGCGTCGACGCCGGCAGGCGCAAGCACGGGATGGTGGAGGCGGTCCATCTTGCCGCTCCGGTAGATGCGTAGGGAGTCCAACTCGAGCAGTAGCTCGTCGGCGGCGTTGGACTCCATGGCCGTGGCTAAGTGGATCGCTGTCAAATGTCAATTGCTGGTGGTAACGCAAGGCAAAGGCTTGGGCACCCGTGCTTAGTGCTTACCCCTGGAGTATTAATCAACGAACCTGTCAGTCTGTCACATGACAAAGAGTGTGTGATTCAGATCCGAATCATACTGAAACGCTTCCGTTTTTCTTCTGAAGAGAGAGAAGAAATTATGTCCGTTTATCAGACTAGCCAAGCTAGAGAAGAAAACAAACTGCACCAGTGGTAACCTCAGCAATATGCAACACGAGACAATGCAGTTGAATGCAGACTCCAGACTTTCAGACCGTTACTTCCACCTTGTGGCAATGAGACAACGCTCTTGCCACCCGAATTTTAGTACTTGCGAAAAGCTCATGGCAACAGCGAGTTTGAAATGAAGAAAGAGAGGGGGGGGGGGGGGGGGGGGGTGTAGATGGCCATGTGGCCCGGCGATTTCACCTGGCCCAGACACGACACAGCCCAACTCGGGTTGTGCCCGTGCCGGCCCGGCCCAACAACCGCACCGTGTCTAGGCTGCTACCTCAACACGCTGGGCCGGCACGAAATTCAGGGATGTGAAACAGACTTATTTCAACCATGTGTAAGGCACCGCAGAAAGTATAGGGAGGAAAAATACACATATTATATGGTATGGCCCAAAGAATAGGAACGTAAAATAGACTTATTTTAACTATATATATATATATATATATATATATATCATAACCCAAAAAGGAGAGAGGGGGAAAATAGACTTATTTTAAAGAAGGCACGATAGGCCGCCCGTGCCTTCGGACAGCTGTCTCTGCTTCTTTGGGCATGTTCGGCTGTTATGTTTAGCAGTTGCGCTGCAGTGGCTGCACACAGAAGACATTGTGCCTGTTGGCTGCAACACAATAAAAATGAGTGCAGCCGAACAGAATCTTTGATACACATAAACAAAGTTTTCCTAACGATATAGACAAGCAATATGGGACAAACCCCTTATAGAAAAAAAAAACTAACCAAAGTAAGACCATATTTAGATGGGACTAAAACTTTTAAGTCCCTATTACATCGGATGTTTGGACACTAACTATAAATATTAAACTTTTAAATCCTTATCACATCGGATGTTTGGATAGTAACTTTTAAGTCCCTATCACATGACGTAAAAAAAGGGAGTAGATATGATTTGATATCCGGCACAGAAAACCGCTTTGATATCAGTTGTAAACCGGTCTTTGATGTTGGATTTGTAATTGGTATCTGTCAGGCAGCTCTGATAAGGTGTTTCATAAGTACCGGTTTCACAACTGACACATATATATAAGTGCATAAAGATATCCCTTGTGGAGAAACTATTCTAATCTCTCGAGGGGAAGTTCCCTCGTTTGCTCAAAAAATCATCTAAACGGTTATTAAAAATTCTGGAAAAATTTGACAACATTCATACAACACATATATACAACTTCACAAAATCTTAAGTCCAAAGTCAACTCACACGTCGAGATATAAAAAAGACAAATTCAGCGTATGAATAGTAGCGTACTATTTATATCTAAATTTGTCTTTTTTGTTTTTCGATGTGTAGATCAAATTTGAACATGAATTTTGGTGGACTAGTAGGTATCATTATACTCTACATTGTCAATTTTTTTTTCAGAATTTTTCACAACCATTTGCATCGAATTTAGAAGAAAAAGGTATACGAGGGGATATCCCCTCGAGGGATTAGAATCACTCCCTCGATTGTGAACAAGAACCAGTACCTGTAGGCTACTATACGCCACGCGGCCACATGGCTATACTCAAAGGCGTGATCAAAAACATATATAACTTCTCTAGAACGCAGGCAATACAGGTAAAATGGACTAATGATCATGTTTTCCACTGCCACAATATATAACATTTTATTGATTTATTAATCTCAGGCAAGCAAGATACAGCTGCAAGTCCGCAAGCATATACAGATGAAGAAGAGAAGTTCATGCGCTGGCTATGAACGCCACGACGCGGTCCATGAGCTGCTTGGCCTTGTCGCACCCCGGATCGCGAAGGAAGAAGACGTGCCCCTCTCCCTCCGTCTCGTGCCACGCCGCGCTCCCGCGCCACGCGCTCGCGGCCACGGCGCCGTAGTACGCGCGGCCCCTCGCCACCAGCCAGTCCTCCTGCGCCGTGCACACGAGCAGCCGCTCGCACCCGAGCTTCTCCAGCGCCGGCGCGCCAGGCGCCGTCGGGTTCATCCTCGGGTCGTCCACGCCGTTCACTGCGCCCGGGCACGCGAACGGCCACACCTTCGAGGCTATGTAGACCGCCTCGTCGGACTCGCCGTCGATGGCCGTGCTCCCGCCGAAGAACGGGTGGAGCATGATCGCGCCCTCTATCCTCGGTCCTTTGTTCGAGGATGCCCTCAGGAGCACGTCGTGCACGATGTTGCCGCCGGCGCTGTCGCCGGCGACGAAGACGCGCGCCGTGTCGCCGTGCTCGGTGATCCAGTCGTCCGCATGGGCGGACACCGCCCACTGGAGCGCCGCCCAAGAATCATCATATCCTGCAGGGAGCGGGTTCTCCGGGGCTAAGCGGTAGTCGACGGACACCACAAGGACGCCGGCGGCGGCGGCGGCGGAGTTGAGGTAGTTGTGGTACGTGGCTGAGTCCGCGGACTCAATGATGAAGCCGCCGCCGTGGAAGTACACGAGGACAGGAAGCTTTTTGCCGAGTTCTTGGTCTTGCACCTTGGGCAGGAAGACGCGCACGAACAGTCCTGTCCCGGCGTCGAGGACGACGTCCTTGGAGACGACGCCGGTGGCATCGTCGACGCCCGCGGCGAGGAGAGGGGGCCGGTGGAGGCGGTCTACCTTGCCGTTCTTGTAGATGCGGAGGTATGAGCTGTCGAACACCAACTCGTCGGCGTCGGGTTCCATGGCTATCACAACTCACAAGCTTAAGGGAAGGAGTCGCATCGGCTGAGAAGTAGAAGCTGCTTTAAAGGGATACTACTCCTGCGTTTATACAAACCACACGTAACACGTTGAGCGAGACATTGGTGAATTCAATCATCCCGAAGGCACGGTACAAGGACATCGATGAATCGTCAAGCACGCCGGCGCGGTACATCACAGAATCGAGAAATTTATGCGCTCTGCTAAGCACCAACTGGCATTGACAAAGCTTTAGCTGGAAGCCTGGAAAAGTACTTTTGCCCCTGATGTTCACTAATTTTTGAAGAAAATTGATAATATGGTCTATGTGTAATATATGTCATACGCAAATATATAGGTTTAAATTTAGAGATTTTTTACCGTCCATCGTACCTTCCGGTACCGTCCGGTACATATGATCTGGTCCGTCCGTTTTGTTAGATCCAAGGGCTCAAAATGCAATGTACCTCCCGGTACTCTTCTCAGCAACAAGTCAAACGTGGGAGGTACAACCATCTGAAGGGTAAGAATAGAAGCCAACATCCTCTCTTTTTCCCCTCAATTGCATCGACTCTCCTCTTCCCAGATTGGGTAACACCAGTCGCCGGAAAAATGAAGGGGAGGTTCGCAGTCGCAGCGGTGGAGGCTAGGAAGGGTTGTTCCGACCACAGATTTCTTTTTCGATTTACAGATTTCTTTTTCTTGCTCCCTTCTCTCTTGTTCTCTTCCAATGACGACCAAGTAAAGGTGTGGTGGAGAGATAACTGCCGGGGAAGGAGAGAAGATGACCTGGTTGGCTAGAGATGCTGAGTAACTGCGCTGATGGATGAATACGGAGGGGGGGGGGAGACGCCGGCGCCGGCGCCAAGGAAGAACACCCAGGTGCGTTGACGGAATTTACGAAGGCAAAGAATCAGGTCATGCGTTTGGGTCTCTGTCGCTGCTTCCTTTTTCCCATCGTGCCCTTATTAAATCAATGGTACCTAGCAGTACTAGTAACGGGGAGGTACTATTTGATGGACCGTAAAAATCCTCTTAAATTTAACACATACAAGTTATAATAAAAAATAACAAATATGATTTTGAATTATAGACTTTACTAATTTGTCATTTTTTTCAACTTGTACATACATGTCAAATCTAAGCACGCTGCACAACCCCAGCCAATTCGGCTTAAACCGTTTGCACTGAGTCAGGCATGTTTGGTTTGTGTGCACAATCTTTCGTCATCTCAAAGTGACAAACTTCAATTTAAAAAATGTGAAAACTTTTATCTCAATTTTTTTAAAAAAAAACTTCCAACTCAATTTTGAAAAATTTCATCTGAAAGATCACAAAAATTTCACCCAAAATACTTAAACCCTTGACCTCTTCTGCATAAACCACAACCGATTTGCCATCCTCTCTACGGCAACCGATGCAGGAGCTAGGGTTGAGGGAAGAGGAGAGGAACTAGATGGGGGTGGTACGCAAGGGGCCGGGGGAGTAAGCAAGGATGACTGGGATAGGGTGGAGTTGAGAATTTAGTAGGGTGAAGGGCACCCGAAGAATGCAGCCGAAGATTAGGATTGTGGCTGAGTATGGGCGACACTGCCAACCACACCGATGAGACGACAAGTCAGACTCAAAGGGAGAAGGTAGGAGAACGAGAAAAGGATTCTAATATCTCGAGGGGATGTCTCTGACGGCAACATCGATGACGGTGATGGGAGTTATGGAAGGCGGCGGCGACAGATCGTCGGCCATCGCAGGAGGCGCGAGGCGGCGCGAGGAGAGGCACGGTGATGCGGCGGCGTGGGAGGCGCGGCGGCGGGGCGAGAAGCGCATGGCTTTGGGCGACGCGGTGGAGAATAGGCGAAAGCAAGATTAATCTGATAGCATGAAAGTGTATGTGAGTCACCGCGATAATTAGATTGATCACGGACACGAGTACATATAGGGACAGTACATCCTTATCTATATAACCGACTTATAAAAACATAATCGGGATAGGATTAGGGAAATCGAACCGGATACAATACAATATCTCTAACAGTTTCCTCGTGTATCTAATATCTCATGGGGATATCTTCTCATGTATCTTTTTCTTCCACCTTCAATGCAAATAGTATTAGAAAAAAATAAAAAACAAATATTTTGGACTGAGAAAGTAGTTACCAGGTCCAGGAGAAAAAAACCAAACGGAACGTTGCTACCACCGAATGCAACATGACAACATTACATCGCGGTCGGCTTGGACCGAGGCTCAGAGCAACGGAAACCACCAGTCCAATGGAAGAACATACACGCGATAAAATATTTCTTCCAAGAACGTAGCAGCGAATGCAAATGCGAAATTCATATTCCCGTCCCCCAAAAAAAAAATAATAGAACCATTTATTTTGTTTCAATGAAGGCACAGCTGCAACCGGAAAGCATATGCAGATGAAGAGCATGCAGCTCATGCGCCGGATATGAACGCCACGACGCGGTCCAAGAGCTGCTTGGCCTTGTCGCACCCCGGATCGCGAAGGAAGAAGACGTGCCCCTCTCCCTCTGTCTCGTGCCACGCCGCGCTCCCGCGCCACGCGCTCGCGGCCACGGCGCCGTAGTACGCGCGGCCCCTCGCCACCAGCCAGTCCTCCTGCGCCGTGCACACGAGCAGCCGCTCGCACCCGAGCTTCTCCAGTGCCGGCGCGCCTGCAGGCGCCGTCGGGTTCATCCTCGGGTCGTCCACGCCGTTCGCTGCGCCCGGGCACGCGACCGCCCACAGCTTGGAGCCCTTGGGGACCGCGTCGTCGGACTCGCCGTCGATGGCCGTGCTCCCGCCGAAGAACGGGTGGAGCACGATCGCGCCCTCTATCCTCGGCCCTTTGTTCGAGGAGGCCCTCAGGAGCATCTCGTGCACGATGTTGCCTCCGGCGCTGTCGCCGGCGACGAAGACGCGCTCCGTGTCGCCGTGCTCGGCGATCCAGTCGTCCTGCGCGGACACCGCCCACTGGAGCGCCGCCCAAGAATCGTCGTATCCTGCAGGCAGCGGGTTTTCAGGGGCTAACCGGTAGTTGACGGACACCACAAGCACGCCGGCCGCGGCGGCGACGGAGTTGAGGTAGTTGTGGTACGTGGCGGAGTCAGCGGACTCGATGATGAATCCGCCGCCGTGGAAGTACACGAGGACAGGAAGCTTTTTGCCGGTTTCTTGGTCTTGCACCTTGGGCAGGAAGACGCGAACGAACAGTCCTGTCCCGGCGTCGAGGACGACGTCCTTGGAGACGACGCCGGTGGCATCGTCGACGCCCGCGGCAACGAGAAGTGGCCGGTGGAGGCGGTCTACCTTCCCGTTCTTGTAGATGCGGAAGTACGGGCCGTCGAACACTACCTCATCGGCGTGCGGTTCCATGGCCACAAGGGAAGGTGTGGCATCGGCTGAGCCTATGAGGCTTTGAATAGATATGCTACGTTGGATTTATACAGAGTTACAGACCACACGTTGAGGAGACAGATGAATCCAGTTATCCATCACTCTGACAACCTGAGATACAGGGGAGACTGTTTTAACAGGTCGAGTGGACGTCTACTCGAGCTATTAGAATCCATCTCCGAGATATAGAGATATTTCAAAGACATGTATGTTAGTGATATGCCCTAGAGGTAATCATAGAGATGATTGTATCACATACTATGTTTACATATTTATCCGACATTGTTCATTGAAATAGATAACTCCTTATTGGTTAATGAATATGTGATTCTTTCATGAGACTCTTTATGTTGTTTATTACTATTTCTAAAGGATCCCTGATCAAATATCGTATGTGGAACAAATATGTTTATATGATCAGCACATGTATTAATTGATGATCATATCTCATGGATCATGGTATAGAGATACCAAATTAATAATGTGGACACATGTTGGTGAACATGTTGTTGGATAGACCCAACATGAGACACTGCAAGAGTCATATGTGTTGTGTCATCAGTGATCTCATTTAGTGTTGGTGTTGAATCCTTAGACGTGAGATTATCATGATTCTCAACATGTGTAGTAGCTTACTTAGGGACTGCTAAACGCTACTCCGTAATTGGGTAGTTATAAAAGTAGTTTTCGGGTATGCTATGAAACATGTAGTGGGATATGAATAATCAAGATGGGATTTGCACCTCCTATGGAGAGATATCTCTGGGCCCCTCGATGTTGTAGATTATGGAAGTGCATGGCCATGCCAAAGGTGCTTGAGGAGTCAATCACAAGTTATATAATCTATCAACAGGTTCGAGTGAATGATTGAGCTATTAGAGGATGGCACATATCTAGCCTTGAGCTTGAGCTTAATCGATATCGTGAGGCAAAGGGCAAAGGGGTTCATACAAGTATACACTAGAGGTTTAGCCGATATGATATTTATGTCTGCCCGGTGGGTCAATACGTTATGCTAGGGGCCGCTGTTGACGCGTGGACCGAAAAGGAGTTTTCGGGTTACAGCCGAGTATATATAAACCTACGGGGTCGCACGCTTAATGGGCCGGAATAAGGGGATTGGATAGGGATCCAATATGAGCTTAATTTGGATAGGGATCCGAATAGGAGTCCTACGGGCCTTGGAGGCCCGAGTGATGGATCCAATATATTCGTGAGGGGCGTGACCGGCGGAGGCATTGCATCACGTGAGAAACCCTAGCCGTCACTTCCCTCCCCGAGCAAAAACCTAGCCGCGCGCGGGTGCTAGCACATCTGCACGTGGCGTCCCGTCCCTGTACGTGTGGATACCGGTAGAGGCACCGCTGGTTTGCGGTGCTGATTAGCGTGGGAGTACGGCGAGGATAACGCGCGAGGAGGAGAAGGTCGAGCCGGTGCGATCGACTACTTCCTCTATATCGACGCGCGCTACTTCGCGAGAGTTCTTTCGACTTCTCAGCGTCTTCTTCCGCTGCGCAGCGCGTCGAGTGGTAACGATCTATGATCTAATACTTGCATGGTTCCTGGTTTACGCGATAGAAAATTTTGATTTATGCTATCGTATCCTACGCGTATCCCAACAATGTATAGGGATATTTCAAACATTATGAAAAAAACAGATGGTGATTAATTTATGGGAATTGCTATAATATAAAAGAGATAGAACACTTATAATATAAGTCGTTGTTGAAGGAAGTATTCGTTGACAGTACAACTTCTGTATAGTTAGGTTGTGTTACTTATATACGAAGAAGTGTGTATGTTGCCTATGTATTCTGTGATGGAGAGAGGGGGATTATGACCTTAGGCTATCTCCAACAATGAAACCCAAAATACAAGACTCATGTCACGTTTGCATAGCGCTACAGTCAAAGAGTTCAATATCTATTTTTGGTCTTCTCCAACAATAAGACTTAAAAGAGAACCCTTACTGCAAATAGGTCTTCAGGAGAGAGGATACTCAGATTTAGGTTATGCCTCTTATAGCACGCAAAATGGGTCTTCTGTATAGGTACTTTGTTGGAGGCTGAAATAGTACTATCGGAGACCTATTTTGGGTTTGGGTGCCCTTATGGGTCCCTTGTTGGAGACAGTCTTAGGGGAGGTAGTGAGGGTGCCGGCCATTGTGTTAGGGGATGGGTGCTAGCGTGCCATCTCCCTTGCGAGCCCGTCGCCCCCTACCGCCTCCCCTCCTTCTAGATCTGGCTCCTCGCCGCTGCTGCCTCCCTGCGACTAGACCACCACCTCCCCCTGGCAAGTCCACCTCCATGTCCCCTCTACGAGTCCGCCGCCTACCGAGATAAGGGAGAGAGATAGAGACAGTATCGAGAGAGAAATAAAAAGACCACCCACCCGGCCGGCTTGTCGATCTCCACCTAGCTCGACTCGGTTCTAGAAGTGTCGGTTTTTCTAAAAAAAGGCCACCTTTAATATATTATTATAGATGTCGTTTTTAAATTATTCAACACATATAATAAATTGAAGGTTTCGGTTTTTTAACATGTGTAATATAGGTGCCGGTTTTCTTTAGAACCGGTACATATAGTTACATAAAGGTGCAGGTTTTTTTATGTTTTATGCCCGTAGAGGCAGGAAAAGATTTATAGGTGTCGGTGTTAGCACTTTCGGCGCCTATAATATCAGCTTCTATGTGTTTTTTTATAGCGGCGCGGAAAGAAGAATGCACATTTCATAACACAGAAATCATGAAAGGATGATCAGTCCAAATTATTCGAGCCCTAAGTTCGATACATTACGACGACTTCAACGCGGGGCGCATCCGGATGGAGCTAATTTTTAATCAGGCAGGAGACCCGGCGGATATGAACTCCACGACGCGGTCCATGAGCTGCTTGGCCTTGTCGCACTCCGGCTTCTCCAGGAAGAAGACGTGCCCCTCCCCCTCCGACTCCACCCACGTCGCCGTCCCGCGCCAGGGGCTCGCCGCCACGGCGTCGTAGTACGCGCGGTCCCTCGCCGCCAGCCCGTCGGTCTGCCCCGCCGCCACCAGCATCCTCTCGCACGCGAGCTTCTCCAGCGCCGGCGCGCCAGGCGCAAGCGGGTTCATCCTCGGGTCGTCCGCGCCGCCGGACGCGCCGGGGCACGCGTAGCACCATATCATACCGGTGAGCGCGGCCGCGGCCGGGGGCTCCCCCTCGAGAACCGTGCTCCCGCCGAACCACGGGTGCAGCAGTAACGCGCCCTCGATCCTCGGCCCGCCGTTGGAGGCCGCCCTCAGGAGCATGTCGTGCACGATGTTGCCGCCGGCGCTGTCGCCGGCGATGAACAGTCGGGACACGTCGCCGTGCTCCGCGAGCCAGCCATCTTGCGCTGACGCCGCCCACAGTAGCCCGGCCCAGGAATCGTCGTAGGCCGCCGGCAGCGGGTGCTCCGGGGCGAGGCGGTAGTCGACGGACACCACGACGACGCCGGCCGCGGCGGCGAAGGGGTTGACGTAGTTGTGGTACGTGGAGGAGTCGGCCGACTCGATGAGGAAGCCGCCTCCGTGGAAGAAGACGAGGACGGGGAGCTTCTTGGATGGCTCTTGGATCTTGGGGAGGTAGAGGCGCACGGAGAGGCCGGTGCCGGCGTCGATGACGACGTCCTTGGAGGCGACGCCGGTGGCCTCGTCGACGCCAGCGGGCAGGCAGGGTGGTCGGTGAAGGCGGTCCATCTTGCCGCTCTTGTAGATGCGGAAGTGCGCCGGAGCCTCGAACACCACGGCGTCGGGCTCGGTCTCGGAGGCCATGGCGAATTGGTGGATGCTGCCGCAGAAGGCGTTTTGGCCTCCGGCGGGCTCGATGGCGAATGGAGAGATGATAAGGTACGTCTTGAATCAGCTAATAAACCCCTGGCTGGGACCTGGGAGGGAGAGCGTCTGCCGCACGTCCTTTTTCGTCCTTGGATCTTGTCTTTGATTTTTTTAGAAAAAAATCAAATGAAGTTTATTTAGAACCGAAATTTTCCATATGTAATAATGGGCATGAATTGATTGGCTGATTGCGAAGTCATATACAGACATATAGTAGCGGGTAATTTGGAACCATGTCATTATAATTTTTCAAAGTTTAGAATATACCATCGGTATCTCAATGACATGTAGCACCCACATGTGGGTCAGAATAGCATATCTCAAATTTTGTAAAATTATAATGGCATGGTTCCAATTTTCCCTATAGTAGCCGAGACCACACCGGGTTTTTCTCCAATCAGCTGAGATCGACGGGCTCCTCTCACGTCTGTCAGAGGAACGTATCTCTCTGTCATGTGGGCCTTACCTGTCAGGCACTCATATCACTCTGACATTACGTCATAAGAGCAAGGCTAATAGCAAAGCTGATTGACGGTGGTAACATATGTCCATGTCATCTAGAGTTGATGATTGTAGATTGCTTATACAAAGGACAAACTATAACTTGGCTTTATATAAGCGTGAATGGACTTAATTATTATATGCACAGATGATCAAAACCAAGCTCTATATCTATGGTCCACCATGCTTGAGCTGTTGAGCATAAAACTAACGTATATTGGGAGCTGCACGCTATGCATGGCCACAAAATATCAAATAAACTGAACCGGAGGCCCACAAACCATATAAAATGTTTAATATGGCCTAAATTTTCGTGCTACCACCCGGCGCTTCAGCAAGCGCTCGCTCTCTTCGTTTTCATGTTTTCTCCCTCCACGTAATACAACGATGATGTGGATGTTGTTATCACCGACTGAAGAAGTTCTATTATACCTGCTCTAAGAGTTGTTTTTAACCGAGTTCTTCCTACTGTCCAACTAAAAGGCTTAAAAGACTATACATGTGGGGCCTCGCAGGCTCTCGCTCTATTATGTACTCCCTCCGTCTCAAAACAAATTAACTTAGGAGGAATGTGACACATCATATGACAATGTATCTAGACAATGCCGGCATACACTATAATCTACATTGTCAAAATTTTCTAGAATTTGCAACAACCATTTACGAAGAATTTAGAAAACGAGAGTACATTATTCCTTAGAGGAATTAGAATCCATTTCCAGCTCTTTGTTGGGTAGGTCCTGAGTTCAAATATCTATAAGAGCGAATTTCATATTGGGTTATTTGAGACCCGTTTGATAGGCTAAGTTACTAATTTATAAAAGGATGTATATATCCGGTTGGATATAGAGACTGGGTAAAAAAATACCCTTCTCTAAAAATAATAATAATAAAAAGATCTTTGTTGGGTGAAAGTCGACTCTTCTCTCCACCGCAGCACCAACTAATCTAATCTAAGGTGATAATTGCCATTAGGGCATGTACAGTGGTTGTCAATAGTGATCTCTTAACGTTGTTAATTAGGAATACTTGTTGACATGTAAGAAAGAGAAAGAGAAAGAAAAAGAGGAGAGACAAAGTATCGTTGTTATGCATAACAACGACTCTTAATCACTATAATATGGAAATATGGTTGCACGAGGATAAAATAATGGAAAGAATATTAACAAAATGAATATTTCTTGAGTTAATGATTAGAACCTTTGTCGTCTCAACTATTATAAAGACACATCTCTAAATAATCTTGTATTGTCTAAGAGACCATACTCGTCTCTATCATTTAACATACCCTTATGTTCCCTAGTCCATGCGATGGTTCATTGTAAGGTAATAGTTGCCACTTTTGATTATGCAAGAAAAAAAAATCTATCGATGACCCTTCTAGGGATGTACTATTACAAATACATCACAATTTTGTGGCACGCAATCAATTTCAGTTTCACCTTCGAAAGCTTAGTAGTGTTTGTACACTATTTACTTCGATTCGATTTCAACCCAGTGAATGATGAGTGAAACAAATAACTCGATTCAACTTCAATGTTGACTTATATACGATCCAAGCAGCTCATCCACCGGCTATGAACGCCACGATGCGATCCATGAGCTGCTTGGCATTCTCGCACTCCGAATTCCCCAGGAAGAACACGTGCCCCTCCCCCTCCGACTCGAGCCACGCCGCGCTCCCGCGCCACGCGCTCGCCGCCACGGCGTCGTAGTACGCGCGGTTCCTCGCCGCGAGCACGTCCTTCCCCCCCGCGCACACGAGCATCCTCTCGCACGCGAGCTCCTCCAGCACCGGCCCGCCGGCCGCCAGCGGGTTCAGCCGCGGGTCGTCCGCGCCGGCGGCGGCGCCCGGGCACGCGTAGTTCCACATCGCCGCGGTGATCGCGGCGCCGCCCTCCGGCTCCCCCTCGATCTCCTTGCTCCCGCCGAACCACGGGTGCAGCAGGATCGCGCCCTCCATCCTCGGGCGCCCGCCGCTGGCGGCCGCCCTCACGAGCATCTCGTGCGCGATGTTGGCGCCGGCGCTGTCGCCGGCGACGAAGAGGCGAGCCGTGTCGCCGTGCTCGGCGATCCATCCGTCTTGCGCCGAGGCCGCCCACTGGAGCGCCGCCCACGAGTCGTCGTAGCCCGCGGGGAGCGGGTGCTCCGGGGCGAGCCGGTAGTCGACGGACACGACGAGGACACCGGCCGCCGCGGCGAGGGAGTTGACGTAGTTGTGGTACGTCTCGGAGCCGGCCGACTCGATGAAGAACGCGCCGCCGTGGAAGAAGACGACGACGGGGAGCTTCTTGGAGGGCTCCTGAAGCTTGGGGAGGAAGAGGCGGACGGAGACGCCGGTGTCGGCGTCGAGGACGACGTCCTTGGAGGTGACGCCGGTGGCCTCGTCGAGACCAGCGGGCAGGACGGGTGGCCGGTTGAGGCGGTCGATCTTGCCGCTCTTGTAGATGCGGAAGTGCGCCGGCGACTCTAGCACCACCTCGTCTTCGGCTTCTTGCTCAGTGGTCATCAATGGAGGAGACGAGTTCTTCTGGGAGGCAGAACGAACTGCAATTCTCCTCGTACCGAAGCCTCTGGTAGATCCATATGATGGTCGAAGTAAGCAGCTTCTGCTACTGTGATCCACTGTTCGTCGCCGGCGAGGTTGGGTGGCCGCCCAACCAGCCGAAACGGTGGCTCCTCCATTGATGGACATGGAGAGGTGAGGGTTTGGACTTGGTGTGGCCATGTGGCAACAGATAAGCCTCTGGGGAGAGAGAGCTTTTGGTGTGGCAACATATAGGCCTCTGAAAGTCTGAGCTCATATGTTGTTTGAACTCTTGGATAGTTGGATGATACACTAAATCAATGGCTGAAAATCCATGAAATATTAAGCATGTGTTTTATCAATCCATGCAATGAAGCATGTGTTTTTACCATGATGCCATTAACCTGGGACCGCTGGACGGGATGACGTGCTTGCACGGGAAACATAATCTCCTGATGGCAGAAATCAATGAAGCACGCGCAAGGACTAAGGCAAATGTTTTAGCTGAACGGTTATCTATATTCTATTTTTTTTAGATAAAAGTATTTTTTTATGGAATATCTAGGAGAGAAATCGATGCACTTTTCCAGCATCATTCACAGTAACTCCAGAAGTGAACTCTAGAGCCAAATGATACATTGAGCAAGGGCGAGCATCCATGGCCCACTAGTGACTAGTGAGATATTTCCTTTTCTTTGCACCTAACTTACGTTAGTATAAAAACTTTGATAAAGCACCAGCAACTGAAACGATTTTTATTTTGTATTAATACTTCCATGAATCAAAATTAATAATCATAAAACTACATACATTCAGTCAATTTAAGTTTTCTATTAATAAGTATTTTTATTTTTCTTGGAGTCTCAATTCGGTATGCTTCTTGTTTTAATAGTTCAGAAATTTGAAATTAATAAATACTGAACGTAACTCAGTTTGAAGTCTCAACTATAGAGTAGTTTTTTTTTCATGATTTCCTACTTGATATATATGAATTAAAATGCCAATATGAATTTTGTAAGGTTGCGTACTTTATACACAACCGGTAGAAGCCCGGCAGAACTAGTCATCGGCATACACGGAATGTAGACAGGAGAAACTACAAAAGCAAGGTAATGAAGGTTGCTAATTTTTACACCGTCTGAAAAAGAATACAACACATTTTACCTGTATTTATTATTTCTAATTAAAGAACTTTTTTTAATGAAAATCTCATATATGCAAGAAAAAAAAAAGCACAAACGTGTAGCACTACCATGAGGCAATTTAGTGGCTAAAAAGTAGTAAAAACAGGTTTAAAAAGTGGAAGATGTTCCTTACTGCACAGCAGAAGAAATTACTGATCGTACAAAATTATTCATATCCTATTGGACTGCTAGCCGCATGAGATGGTCCATGAAGACCTGGAAGCTCACATCATCTGTGAATATGACGTCTCCTCCATGAGAAGAATTATCAGAATTATATGTGACAGATGGATTAAGCTTTGCCAGTAAAAATCGAGCCTGAAATTTTAGAGAAAAGTAATATATAAATTGATTTTTGAACGTGTTCATTAAATAGCCAAGAACTATCAAACCCATCCAGAATTCCAGATCAACTGCAAATAGTACAGAACAAAAGTTATACCTGAGACCCATACTGATCACAGACGACCAAACGGGGTACAGGAAACCGCTCCCTGATTATAGTATCAGCTTCCTCATGTGGAGATTTTAACAATTGGGCAAATACCTGAATATCATGAAAGGTTCAGCACTGGATGGCAATGCACTACTGCACTTTAAATGCAGCTTAGATAAAAATCTGTGTTAGCCCCTAATATATGAAGAAAGGTATATCGATAGGAAGGTGAGATATTACACTAAAGCAGATTATAAGATGTATTTGATAAATAATCTCACTAAAGCAGACTATAAGATGTAGTATTTGATAAATAATCTCTGCAAACAAGAATCGAGCTGCCATACAGCCATAGTTGACACGCTATTACCTCGTGGTCTTGTTGATCTTGGTAACCAGCATTTCGCCACTGTGCAATCGTTATCCCATGGAAGATAACAACAGTAAAATAAGAATCCAATAAAAGAATCTTGTCAGCTGCAATTGCAGTTACATCTAAGAGAACTGGCTCTGGCCCAGATTGAAATGAATAGGATATAAGTGAAGGCTGAATCATCACGACTGCATTGGTTACATCTTCCCTGTCCAATACCATCCTAAAATATGCAGTTTCATCAGGACTATTGTTAAAAACCTGCATAGAAAACAAATATTTAGTAAGCAAAGGTATGAATCTCCCATACATGTCACATTCTTTTCTTAATGAACAAAGGCGAGCTCCCTACCTGAACAAACTGAGAACGCCTCAAATTAAAAACAAATTGGGGAAATATTGATATACGCGGGGACAAACTAAAGGATGAAGGGTTTTCCTTCTGATAGTCACCAAATTTGGAACATAGACGTATCAAAGCTCGATCAAGCCATCTTATAGGATCAAAATCAGCCTGAAAAGAATCCAGAACGAGATAGTGTTACACAAAATGAACAATTGTTTGGATTAAGAATGATCTAAAATCTATACTCCCTCCGTCCCTAAATATAAGGGATTTTGGTGTGATGTGACACATCCTAGTACAACGAATTTGGACAGAAACTGACCAAAATCCCTTATATTTAGGGACGGAGGGAGTACTACAGAGAAACTATGGCGCAACTGGCATCCAGAGAAACTGCTTACAAGTATTGTTGAGGTCAGGAAGCCATATGACCACAAATAATTCCAGACTTATGCTCTCTTGTTTTCTAAGTGCACGCTTCCTAAATTGCTAAACGGTGTGTTTTTTTGCAAACAAAAATCATATAGGAAAGTTGCTTTAAAATATCATATTTCCATTTTTCATGTTTTTTATTGCTAAAATACTTAAATTAATCAGACACTAACGAGCCACCCTGATTTGTGTGCGCGGGAGAGGAGTTCCCAACCTTCTCTCCTGAACGCACTCAGTCCCTAAAACTTATGTATCACATGGTTGTATGGGAATTGTACAGAACAGGCCAGAAGAACATGTGAGCACAACGGCATTTAATTGTAATAAGCTTTCGAAGTCTGAAAAAAATTGGTATCCTTTATTGCTGTTTGTGTTTAAACCTACACAAATTTGTATAAAGCAACACAAGGCGAGACCAAAGTCTATTTTTTTTCTTGAACACGCCAGAGAGTTGTGCTTCATTATATTAAGAAGAAAAGAATCTAAGGAGACTCATACAAACCCTTAAGGTTAGTACAATGACACTAAAAGAAATGAAACTACGAGCAGCGACCCAAAAAAACTTTATGGCCAAATGCTACTAAGCCCTTTGACCCCCACCGTACATCACAATTTGTTCTCATCCCTAATGTCCTGTATAAGAGCATTGAAATTAGGTGAGGTACCTCAAATACACAAAACAAAGTAAAATAAGCCATGTGATCAAAATAACAAGTTGGTTCAGTTTGTGCTGCAAAAAGAAGCTAAGAAGTATAACATATTTGAATTTTGCATAATTGCTATGGCAGATATAGTCAGACTCATAAGTACCTCAGTTTCCATCTTAAATGAGACCAAGCGTGCCATGACAGCAGCTGCAGCTTCTTGGTCAAAGCCACCTATAAGCTCCTAAAGCATACAAAGTTTATTAAGGACAAATGACTGCACTTTTAAATTAAAACACATACACGCAGTGAAACACATTGGGAATGAATAAGCATTAGTCCCTGCACCTTTATTTTGAGCAAGTGAAACTTGTTCGTATCAATGAAATCAACTACATCTGGCAAAAGGAAAAATGAATGGGAATTCATGGGTTAAAGACAATAAAAACTTGCCTGCACACTATCAGAACCAGAAACCCATCTTCTGGAGATCGTAGTAGCTCGTAATCTCATTTGTCCCTCATGATGCTGATAACTGATGATGTGTTTCCAACTTAGTCAGGTAAATACATCTTAAACAGAGTAAGCTGCTTAGCAAAAGCTAAAGGGAAAACAGTTTCTTACTAGGTTAAGAATTGAAAGTAGAACTGGTTACTTGCTGCTTGGCCAATTGTATTTGATCCATCTTTCTTTGCAATATCATATACTAAGCAGAGTGATGTTTTCTTGTCAAGGCCACACATCTTCCAAGCACTAGTATTTCCCTGACCAATAACGGTGTCTGATGATAGAGGGCTTTTCTGCATGTGAAAACTGCAGTGTTAGAAACAACAAAATTACTCTGATTCTATAAGCTACAATCTCTAGTATATAAATGAACTTGTGGTGGTGATAGAAGTTGGTGGAATTTTCGGTGGATAACTATATCTTTTGCACATCTGGCTTGTAAATTGTAATAAGATTTTATTTCTGAATTGATGTTTAGTTGCAAATTGCAAATTACATATGTTTAGCTGATATATTTATTTGGAATTGGTGCAACTCTCAGGGTATTTAGCTAGTACTCCCTCCTTCCCAAAATACAGCTACCTAGGAAGTTTTTGGAGGTATTAAAGATTATGGTGCAAGGTCAAAAATACCTCTCGTTATAGTCTAGGGCTAGGTATTTCGTGTGATATAGTAGTACATTGCTAGGGGTAGGATGGGAAAGTAAGTGCAAAAAAAAAAATCACCTTTTACAATCCTAGGTAGCTAAAATTGGCACAAATTTGAATCTCAAACGTAACTATATTTTGGGACGGAGGGAGTAGTATTGAATAAAATAGATAATATACCTTCTCCAGGGAAGCACAAGGTCCAATAATGCCTTGGATCTTGACATCTTTTGAGCAGTTAATCTCAAGAATACCACTGTACAGGAAATGTAAACATATTATATGAATTAAAATACTACCCTTTTTTTTCAAAAAAATCAATGTAAAATATTAAAAAAGTCTCAAGTATGAGTTCCAGTGCAGCCCGGTATAACTGTTCATGAGGAAAAAACACGATAAAAAGAAACAGCATTAAACAGGTCTCCTAATTTCAAGGAAATAATGGTAAATAAAAATTACTATGAGAATTGTTTGAGTTTGAAATAAAAATAAGTCCTATTCTATGCTGGAAAGCAGATTTTTAGTTTGTAAACATATGGTGAAATTGAAATTGGCGCACTAGATGCAATGTTCGGAAAAACCACTAGTGACTTTTAGTAACACATGCAGGTTAATGGTCTTTGTACGCAGAACGGCTGGGCTACCTTGAGAACTATATCTGGGCATGTGCGTTTTCAGTGCATGGTATGTACAATACTAATGAGATGTGACCAAGTGTTTTAACTTTGAAAAGGAGGTAGTGAAAACTAATCCAACTAATAATTGTGAAAGAAAAGGGTATAAAGAAACAGTAGTTTGCCTATGGATAAGTTCGCTTGCATGCGAAAAGTTCAATATGGAAGGTAACTTGAATAAAATCCTTGTCTTTAATCTTACAAATATATAACTAAACAAAGTTAGAAAACACTGGAATGACTCAAAATAACTCAGGCTAGGTAAAAGGATTTTACTTGAATGATAATCCAAGATCGTTGTCTGATGACTGAAAAATGCGAAGAAGCGAGTCTTTGAAAACAGAGTGACCAAAACTTTCCGCAAGGACAACAATTCCTCCAGTCTTCTCAATTGCAACCTTCATTTCAGCAACACCAACCTGGGAAAATTAAAGACAAACAATAAATAGTCCAAATAAGATAACCATTCATTTCAATCCACATAATAGAGATACTGTGATGTTGTCTGAGAAAGCATCGAGCAGGTTGCATTTTGTCTGTAAAAAGGTATTTATGGCCTCATGTTAAAAATAAATAAGCAACATACCTGGTCAACTGCACAAGCAAACACATCCAGAACATGCCCCTGGTGCACAAGTTGCTTTGCAATCTGATCATAGAACTTGACAGCTTTATCATAAAGTGGAGCTGAGTCTTTATCAAGATCTTTGTGTGAGCGAATTGGCTCTAACAAGGATTTGGATACAATCTGCGAATTTTTCAAGACAGTAACCATCCCTCACATGTCTACGCAATATAATTTTGTAATGTGAAAAAATATAGTTGACACCACGATTAAGCAAATAAACATTTGTAGAGCCAAATAAACACCGCGATCAAGGCAATTATATGCTTGTGCACATTGTTGCCCTGTAATATAGGGTTATCACATATTGCCTATTGATGCGCAACGAATTGATGTGATGTGAATGAAAACAGTGAGATAGATGTGAGCTTACCTTAAAAAAACAGTTGTCATTTGTGCTAGAACAAAGCTAAAAGACTAGCATGAAACTAGGTAGGTGTGCCTTTCCATTGCTTATTTAATTAATTAAATAGTCCACAAGCACATATCAAAGGAGATATATGAGCATGCGAATCAATTGCTGACAGTATAGATGAACAAGTAATTTTAAAGAGAATGCACTACAATAGAATTAGGACTCACAGAACCAGGTCCCTCTGTAGATGGACCACCAACAAATGCCATAATCCTAGCACCTGATCCAGGGACACACACACCAAGAAGACTGGCCGCCACGCTTAATGCAGCTCCAGTGCATCTTGATGCACGTTGATCAGCTGGAACAGGCCAAGGGTCCTTTTGCAATTCTTCTATTACCTACAGATGCAGAGAAATATTATCAGCAATTTGAACCATTGAAAGTTCAGGATAAGATGTTATATTACATATACAATAGTATTTCCTATTATTATATTATTGGTTCTTAACTGCATTCAACACAAACTCACACTCAGAAGCAGGTAACAGGAACCTAGCAATGCTCTCTGATGAAAGACCGTCCCTAGTACCAGCAATCACCCCTGTAGTGGGTTTTCTCTTCCCTGCAAAGAAGCACATTTGATCCAACATTTCATCCTTGGTGACCTCCTTTGTTCCCTTGAATACATATGATTTTGGAAGCAAGCCAAAACCCAATTCATGAACCTGTATGCAACAATATTGAAAATATTACTAAATTAACCTATGCATAACGCAATTAAGAATGGAGCATTCATGAGAGCACAGTGAACCACCTGTACATATGTCCCAAAAGTAATGAATCCAACAAGGGAATTATCTGGTAATAGCTCAACAACTTGTGCGAGTGCAGACTTCAAATAACCAATTTCTTCCTCAATCATGCAAGTATCAACAACAAACATGAAAACCGGTGGCACTACAGGGCCAGTTTCAGCAGTGGATATGTACTCAACTGTGGTGTACTGAGGGAAAAGTTCTGCAGGGAGATTGCTTTCTGAGATTGAGGAGTAATGCTGTGGGAAGTGATTGCGCTGAAAGCAGAATGGGCAAACCCAGATCTTTGCGACATAGTCAACAATGGAGAAAGGGTTGAGGATGGAACGGCACATCCGGCAACGGAGGGGAGAATATGGGAGAACAGGGATATCAGGAACTTGTTTCAGAGGAGTATAGATAGCAGAAATAGGAACAACACAGCTCAAAGCATCCTCCCTCGTGCCTGGAATAACATTCCAGGGCATCCTTATCCCATCTTGTGCCTCAAGGTCAAGGAACTCAGACATTTTCAGCAGTCTTTATATAATTCTGTCAGGCCTCCACTAGTAAAAGGATATGCCGCCTGCAATATCAAATTATTAGCTTTGCTGAATACTGAAGAACTGAAAGAAATTAAACAATAAATACGAAAAATATAATCAAGACAAAAAATAACAAAGAGAAGAAGGCCCTTGAAAGTGGATGCCAGTTACTACCGAAATACTGTAAGGAAAACCAATAACCCTGATCCAAAACCTTGAAAGTCGATTTAAGTATGACAAAGTGGTTGCTAATGGTTGATATCTCTACTTATTCAACTTCACAAGGCGAAGTTGGTCTGACATTGCAAAACTCTCTCTCTCTCTCTCTCTCTCTCTCTCTCTCTAATTATACAAAAATACAACGAGCTAACAAATACCAATATTTACGGTTCAACAACCAAAAAAAAACTCGCGGAATTTGCATAATTACACACAAATCAGAACCTAACTATTCGCCTGCCAATTAAAAAAAAACATAGACCAGAATTGAAGTATTCGCTTGTCCCACATTGTGTTTGTGCTCCAAAACACACACACACACACACACACACACACACACACACACACACACACACACACACACACGAAGGGTTCCTCCTATTTGATACACATGCATAACTCCGTAGATTCGAAATTGAATCACCCCCATCCATGATCAAACGACTTCGCACCAGAGAACGAGCAACCCCAGATCCCCTAAAAACATCGCCCCAAACCCAAAATCTCAAATAAGTGGAGCAGCCAGCCAAGGGGACGAGGCGGCTAACCTGCGAATACTAGAACGCTGCTAGGCAACGGGGTGCTACTGACCTGACAGCACCGCGCCGCAGGCAGCGGCGGCCGGAGTCGGTGGAGGAGGCGGCCGAGGCGAAACGGGCGGGGCGCGCGAGCGCGATGCGATCGGGAGAGAGAGGACTCCGCCTCCGGCAAACAGTAGCGCCGGCTGGGTCCTCCGGTCCCAGTAGTACGTGCTGGGCTGGGCCGGGCCAAAATTATGTTGGGCCGGAACGCGATTTCGACGTATCGCTTGACGGGCCAAAATCATGTTGGACCGGAAGTGATTTCCACGTGGAATAAGTTCACTTCATAACCCTCAAATGTGATCGAAATCTAATCCATGACCCTAAACTACAAGAGAGAATCCCTTATATGCCACTGAAAATTAGTCTGATACCTTATATGCCATTGAAAATTAGCTTTTCCCTTATATGTCATTGATCCAAATTTGCACACCCTCTCATGCCCCTCCCGTCAGTTGACCGTGTATTGGCCGTTAATTCTCAAGGAAAAAAGACATATTTACCCTTCTGAGTATAGGGCATGCCTAACAACTCAGAGAGGGCAAATATATCTTTTTTACTTGAGAGTTAACGATCAACGCACGGTCAACTGACGGTAGTGGCATGAGAGGGTGCACAAATTTGGACCAATGGCATATAAGGGAAGAGCCAATTTTCAGTGGCATATAAGGGATCAGACCAATTTTCAGTGCCATATAAGGGATTATCTCAAACTACAAAACCAGATAACTCGACCCCCAAACTCCTAAAACCGGTGCAAGTCGACTCCCTGAGCGGTTTTGGGAGGCGGTTTTGCTGACGTGGCGCCACGTGGCGCCTACGTGGTAATATTGAACAAGTCTTCGTTACACGTGACATTGACATGGCACCTACGTGGCGGTAGAAATAAAAAATATGCGTGGGACCCATTAGTCATTCACACAAAAAGAAATGTGGGCCCACTGACATGTGGGGCCCATATGTCAGTCCTCCTTCCTCCTCCCTCACTCCTTTCTCTCTCTTTCTCTCCACTTCTTCCCCCTTCGGCCGGTGGCGCGCGGGGACAGCAAGAACGGCCAGCGGCGTTCGGCAGCGTGCGACGGGGGCCAGCGGCGGGAGGGGGCCAGGGGTCGGCGAGCCTCCTCCTCCTCCTCCACTGCCGCCGCCATCACCAAAGAACGGCCGGCGGCGGCAGCGTTCGACAGCGTGCGATGGGGGCCAGCGGCGGCGGCGGGCGGGCGGGAGCCCGCGGCGGCGGCAGGAGGGGGCCAGGGGCCGGTGAGCCTCCTCCTCCTCCACCGCTGCCGCCATCACCAGAGAGCGGCCGGCGGCGGCAGCGTTCGACAGCGTGGGACGAGGGCCAGTGGCGGCGGCGGGCGGGCGAGAGCCCGTGGCGGCGGCAGGAGAGGGCCAGGGGCCGGTGAGCCTCCTCCTCCTCCACCGCCGCCACCATCACCAGAGAGCGCCCGGCGGCGGCGGCGGCGTTCGACAGCGTGGGATGGGGGCCAGCGGCGGCGGCGAGCGGGCGGGCGGGAGCCCGCGGCGGCAGCGGGAGGGGGCCAGGGGCCGGCGAGCCTCCTCCTCCTCCGCGCTGCCTTTGGATCTCCGCGCTTAGCCTCCGCGCCGCCGCAGGACCTCCGCACCCAGCCTCAGCGCTGCCGCCGGATATCCGCCGCGTTGCTGTCGCGGCTGCCACCGCCGCCGCTGCCGAATGTCGCCGCCGAAGTCCCCGCGCGCCACCGGCCGAAGGGGGAAAAGGGGAGAGAAAGAGAGAGAAGGGAGTGAGGGAGGAGGAAGGAGGACTGACATATGGGGCCCACATGTCAGTGGGCCCACATTTCTTTTTTTTTGTGTGAATAACTAATTGGTCCCACACATATTTTTTATTTCTACCGCCACGTAGGTGCCACGTCAACGCCATGTGTAACGAAGACTTGGTCAATATTGCCACGCAACAAAACCGCCTCCCAAAACTGCCCAGGGAGTTGAATTGCACCGGCTTTAAGAGTTTGGGGGTCGAGATATCCGGTTTTGTAGTTTAGGGTTATTGATTAAATTTCGATCACATTTGAGGGTCATTAACTGAACTTATTCCTTTCCACGTACGTGGGCGGGCAAAAATCATGTTAGGCCGGAACGGAATCTGAGCCCCCTATTTCTGATTCTACGGTGGAGATGTCCTCCACAAAAGCTTCGGCAACCAAACCCCCTCTCCGGCGATATCAGCCGGCGTCCTTCCCCGGCGAGCTCCACGACCGGAGCCGGCGGCTGCGGCGAATCCCCGCGCATGGCCCGCTTCCCCGCTTCGCCTCCTCTGCCGCTCGGCGATGCCCAGCCGCCCAAGTACCCGCCTCAACCTCTCTCTCTCTCTCTCTCAATGAATTGGCTGGTTTACATTTTATTTCTGGTTGTTCGATCAAACGATAATCTGATGAGCAAATGAACACGGATAGTGAAGAAATTGAGGACGAATTGGTGATTAGTTGGCTTCGTCCATGAGATCTACCTCGCCATCAATCTTCAGTAAAATCTTACACGATATGGAGTCCACCATGGAACTAACAAATGACAGTGCACTGAAATGGCCGGTTAGATATGCAAATCCATCGACATGTCATGCTGAAATCAATTCCATCCCTGCGGCAACTATGAGACCATGCGTCAAATTCTGTACAGGGAAATCACTTTTGGAACAACTTATCGTCAAATCATATGAAAAGCATTAAAAAATGCAATTGAAAACGATATCATGAGCCATGCTTTGAAAAAAGAAACAATGGACTGTTCCCATCAATTCGAGTAATTGACTACCCCAACTGTCTGCCATAAACAATCCACAACTTCTAACCTCTATATGATGCTCTATCAGTCTAGCTACAATGCCATCCCGGTAGCTTCTTGATTTGTTGATTGCACGAGGAAACCAGTCCTAATCTTCTACTTCCTCCGTTTCATAATGTAAGTCATTCTAACATTTTTCACATTCATATTGATGTTAATGAATCTAGACATATAACATCAACATAAATGTAAAAAAATGCTAGAATGACTTATATTATGAAACGGAGGGAGTAGGGTCTAAACTCTAACCAGAACTACTCAACACCTGGTGAGTTATGGAGTTCCTGATAGTGAGTGTTGACCCTTTTCTTCCCTGAAGATTTCGTTGTGATTTCTTGTAAGGAAGTTCATCATTGAGCAAGAAGTCCTTTATTAAAAGCCTCCAAAGGATCATCTTATATCTCTGCTACTACTATTTCTTTACCTTATGACCCAAATTTCGATGCACCAGCTTGTAGTACCACTTCACTGTGAAATTCAGTTCTGCAAGTGACCGGAGTTCCTTGATGATTCATGTGTTGCCAGTGTCGGCATTATTGCTCTTGAGTGAGTTGCAGACCAGCAGTGCCGCTTGTACAAACATGTGCAGAACAATGCAATCTTAGCCGTTAGAGCAAGTTTAATAGTATAGCCCACTACTGGCTCCAACTTATCTATAGCTAATCTAATAGCCAATTCATATAATAGTTGCTTACTATACTATTAATATATGGTCACACCTGTCATACACACATCTTGTCTTGGAGTCCGCACTGCAGCTAGCTACAGATCTGTAGCCCGCTGCTCTTCTCTCTCATCCTTTATCTTATTAAAATATGTTTACAAACCAGCTGCAAACATATTTTAAGGATATAAATGAGGAGAGAGAAGGGCAGCGGGCTACAAATTTGTAGCCAGCTGTAGCACGGACTACAAGACACAGTGTGTCTATGACAGGTGGGACCATGTATTAATAGTGTAGTATGTAACTATTGTATGAATGAGTTATTAGATTGGTTATAGATGAGTCGGAGGTAGTAGTTGGCTATACTATTGAACTTGCTCTTATAATGGTCCACCTTACGAGTTTTGCAGCTGGGCAGCCGGAAAACCACCCGTATGACCTTATCGCTTTATGTTTCATCCAGTTCACCGGAATACTGAACACTTTATGTTTCTCCTTTGACAATCAAAGTTGTGTCCCTGACCACTCTGCATGCACCCACTGCTTTACTAGGATTTAGGGGGTGTTTGGGAGACACCCCCTTAGACTGGATGTTGGCTCACCCAAAATTCACTGGGTTTCTGAATTCTGACCTTTCAATTTGCACAGGATTGGTCCCATTGGATTGCAATACTGTAGCATCGAGAGCTGTAGACTGTGGTCTGTAGCATTGTCGAGTGTGCCGTCAGTACTGGAGTGCTTGGTCCCTCCAAGCAAATTCTTCATCAGATGCCACTGCTTTTTACTACTAGCGATTCTCCTTTTCCTTTTGGTCGTATCATTTGAGTTGACATGTCATCGAGTAAAGTTAACCAACCGTGCGCTCCTGCCTCGCTTTTACATTTGTGCTGCAATGCAGCAAAGTTCTGTCTTTAGCTCATTCTATCATCCAGATGGTACAAAGAACTGCTTTGCTAAAATTACAGAAAGACTTTTTTTTTTCAGAAAGCAAAAACCATCCAAAAAATCAGATGCAAAGAAAGCAGAACTTCAATGTCAATGTGTGGGTGCCTTCTTCTGGGTTTGTGTGTTGGCGCTGTCAATGCGTGGGTGATGGTATATTTTTTTCTTTTTCCTGGTTACGACCCTTCAGGGTTGTAATCTTGTAATTTTTTCCTGCTCTATCAATAAAACTTCGCACCATCTCATGCGAGTCGTTCAAAGAAAGCAGAAGGATTCTGAAATTCTAGCTAGAGGGAGTGAAGTGAGTGAGGGTTCTGAACTCTGAACAACATGCAGCTCTGAAAAATCTCAAGGTTCATCCGAGTTATTCAGCACACAGGAGTACACGAGTATACGACACGATTACACCAATACATGCAAACCAAATTGCATGTTGTTCCAAAAATCCAAACGGAAACCAACAAGATTACAAGAAGCACACTCTCACATCATCATATCGATCTCTCCACACAACGAGGTTAACTATACCTGAGTGAAAATCTCGCATTCATCGTCGCATGCCCGCCGCAGCGTTGCCGCTTGCTAGAATGGACGGTTAAAAAGGTTCGTCTTGGCTAATAGCTTCGACAAAGTTCAGCTGCTGCTCCTACTCGGAGTAGTCTTGTAACTGTAAGCTGGAGCCGGGCTCCCGGCGAGGTTGCTGCTGCACTTGCGCCACTGCCACGAGTCGGCCGGCGTGCTGGGCAGCGGCGGCAGCGGCAGGACGGCGGGGCCGGGGAGGCGGCACAGCCCGAACGGCCACCCCTCGCAGTCACGGAGCCCCTCCCACTTCGCCGGCGACAGCAGGGGAGGCGGCGGGTCCACGGCGGCGAACGCCGACGACGCCACGGTCGCGCCACGGCTCGTGCTGCGCGAGAAGAAGCTCTTCACCGAGAAGAACGCCTCGCTCTCGTCGTCGGCGTCGCCGCCTACCTCCTCCTCCTTGCCCGTCGTCTTCTCCTCCTCCGTTACCGACTCCTTGGGACTCGGAAACTTCTCCAGAACGCTCCTCGGGTCGAGCGGCGTGAACGACCAGACGAACGGGCTCGACATCGGGGAATCCAGGCTGCACCTCGCCCTCTTCTTCATCTGCCGGTTCCTCATCTCGTTCATGATCACCTGCACCATCAATCGCAAGAACACAAAAACACGTGGATCGATGATCAAGAACTAGCTAGATGTAGACTTGTAGTTTTCTGTTTGCGAATTATCTTGTGCTGCTGCTGCTGCTGGCTGCAGCTGATGCGAACCTGCTTGGTGTCGAGCACTTCGTCGAGCAAGCTGTCATCGTCGTCGCTGTCGTCGCCGGAGCTCCAGCCGGCGGCGGGGATCCTGGCGCAGGGGACATGGCAGTGGGCGTAGGTCTCCCTGATGAGGGAGGAGAGGGACTTGCAGTAGTGATTGGTGGCTGGTAGCTTGGGATGATACTCCTGTGCCAGGCAAGGCATTGTTTGTTCCTCACGATCGATCGATCGATCAATCCAGTTGCTTGTGGCGATCGTTCATGCGATCGAATCGATGCGTTGTGCGTATAAATGGTGGGTTCACCGTGTGGAGATTGGAGAATGGGTTTTCGGGAGGACGAAGAGGGGGATGTGGACGTGCATGACAAGTGCCCTGCAACTTAAAAGGAGCTAGAGGCTCACTACTTGATCGGTATTGGAGCATGTGTAACTTGTAATCCTTTGGGTTGAAGGCTAAGTAAGAAATATTTGATCTCGACAGTACACTGCAAACTGTGGTGTGTTGCGTTTATTCCAAATAACATTCGACCACTAAAATTTTTATGGTTATATAGTCTTGGTATACAGGTACTACTACATGTTTCGCCAGTAGGAGTAATGTTTGAGTGGGTTATTTGTCGTTCTGTCAGTGTGACGAATTGAGAATGACCATACTTTTGAGATTTTCAGTTGCAATCTCCCAATCGGCCTGGAATCTATCTATCTATCTATCTATTATATTATTAAGACAGCTCGAAACAAAGGCACCACGTTCGCCGTGGGGGCTAGAAATTCCCACATTAATCGGAGAAAAAGAAAAGAAGAGTCAAAGTAGAAATACAATTAAAAATAGCTGAAATTCGGAATTAAAAATATGCAATATGGAAAGAGGAGTCCATATAGGAACCCAATACGTGATTAATCAAAATTCAAAATAAAAATAAAATAAAATCCAAAATTAGAAAAGGAAAGGAGAATATAAATACAATTTAAAAATAGCTAAAATTCGGAATTAAAAATAAGCAATATTGAAAGAAATTTCCATATAAGAACCCAATACGAAATTAATCAAAATTCAAAATAAAAATAAAATAAAATCCAAAATTAGAAAAGGAAATAAGAGTCCAAGTAGGAATACAATTTAAAAATAGCTGAAATTCGGTATTAAAAATAAGGAATATTAAAAGAAGAGTTCATATAAGAACCCAATACAAGATTAAGTAAAATTCAGAATAAAAATAAATAAATCTAAAATTAGAAAAAGAAAATAAAAGAAGAGTTCAAGTAGGAATACAATTTAAAATTAGCTGAAATTTGGAATTAAAAATAAGCATACTGAAAAAAGAATCCATATAAGAACCCAATACGAGATTAATTAAAATTTAGAATAAAAAATAAAATAATATCCAAAGTTAGAAAACAATAAAAGAGAGTTCAAGTAGGAATACAATTTTAAAATAACTGAAATTGAAAATAAAAAAATAAAAACATTAAAATAACACAAGACGGGATTAAATAATTTTTTTAAAAAAATTCTAAAATTAGAAAAAGAAAAATAAGATTTCAATTAGGAATACAATTTATAAATAACTAAAATTTTTGATAAAAATAAAGATTATTAAAATAAAAGGCCATCTAAAACACATGACGAGATATATTAAGTAACATACCTATAAAGGAGTAGAGTGGTGGCGGTTGATATGACATATAAAAATTGTTAATAAAACACCAAATAGAATCTTAATGACGATTAAAAGGAGAGACGTCAGGGAGGCCGTGAAGCAATAAAATTTAGAATAAAAAATAAAATAATATCCAAAGTTAGAAAACAATAAAAGAGAGTTCAAGTAGGAATACAATTTTGAAACAACTGAAATCGAAAATAAAAAATAAAAACATTAAAATAACACAATAAGGTATTAAATATTTTTTTAAAAAAAAATTCTAAAATTAGAACAAGAAAAATAAGATTTCAATTAGGAATACAATTTATAAATAACTAAAACTTTTGATAAAAATAAAGATTATTAAAATAAAAGACCATCTGAAACACATGACGAGATATATTAAGTAACATGCCTATAAATGAGTAGAGTGGTGGCGGTTGATATGACATATAAAAATTGTTAATAAAACACCAAATAGAATCCTAATGACGATTAAAAGGAGAGACGTCAGGGAGGCCGTGAAGCAAACGAGTAAGGCGGTTGCCGGGACTTCTAGAAAGTAAAAAAAAAACAATTTTTAGAATCACAATGACAATAAAGAGTAGGTGGCGGACGGGCTGTAGATCAGGGACACAGTGACATCGTTTGATGGCACTTCTAAAAATTATTAAAAATAAAACTACAAGTCCAATTTTTAAAGGTTCGGAACTTCTGAAAAGTAAAAAAAACCAATGATAATCATGTTCGATTTTAAAATCAAAATGAAATAAAGAAGGGAGGCAGCGGGCGAGCCGTAGAGGATTACAATGGCAAAGCCGCTAACGGTTTGGCGGGACTTCTAAAAAGTAAAAATGAACTTAAACGATAATTATGTTCGATTTTTAAATTCTCAATGACAATAAAGAGATAAGACAGTGGACGTGTCGTAGAGGAGTATAATAGCAACGTTTGATGGGACATCTAGAAATTATAAAAATGAAACCCAACGTGACAATAAACTCTAAAAACTATAAAATCCAATTTTTAAAGGTTCCAATAAGAATGAATAGAAATAGTGGTAGATCGAGCAAGCAAATAAAGAAGGAGATGAGACATAAGGGGTAGCAACTGGTGTGACTTTTAAAAACTATATAATTAGAAACATGATGATGATAAGATTTGGTCTTTTAAAGTCTTAAGACAATGAGATAGCTATTTAATAAATTTTAAGTAAAATCATACTTAAAAAAATATATGATTTTGTTTGGGTGCTAGCCGTGCAATTGCGCGGGCCAACCAGCTAGTTCAAAGTGAAGGGAATTAAATCGCATCATTAGTAAACAGTATTCGCCTCAACACCTCAACAAGATCACAACTACAACTGCAACACGTACTTGTTCTTTAATCCACAAGGCTCCCAGCTCCAGGCCTGTACCAAACCGGGTACACTTTTCCGGTGAAACGTCGCCGTTGGGATAAATTTGCCTTCTTCTCCACACCCCCACGCAGCACTAAATTCAGGGGAGAAAATAACCGTGCAACGTACTACTCATCAACGCATAGTTCCAAGCTATATAACCGTGTTTGCTTGCAGTTGTGGTGGCTGCGTCAGATCACGCTCGTTTTTTCTCTTTTGCCGGTTGCTTCCACGGCGAGCTCAGGCAAAGCGAGCTCGTCGTGGCCGGCGAAATGCTCGAGTGCGTGCGCTCGCGCCGCTCATGGCCGTTGTTTTCGCGGCTCTCTTAAAGCAAACGCTAAACCAACCTCGCACCAAACTGCTATGCCAAGTGTGAGGCGAGGCAGGACGAAGGCTACCTCGCATAGGGTTCTCACTTCTCAACGACGATGAGGTCATGGAGCACTAAGGAGAGATGCACTCTAGAACTTGCATGCGAAGAACTTCTAGTTCAAGAGATATGGCGTGTAGCTTTCAGGAGCATTGGGATGGGAGATCAATTGGGCAGAGTTAAATTTCTCTTGCCTTTTGGCTTGCCTCTAGAATATGTGAAGGATATTGTTAAGTGAGAATACGATTCTCAAGATGAAATGCTTCGATTTTTTTAGTGCACTACCTACCTTTTTATGATCTACAAGTTAGTACTGTACCTCTGAAGTATAGTAGTAGTAATGATTAATGAAGACAGTAAGTGTATTTATGTAGTTTTCATTTGCTCAGTTTTATTAGGTTTTAGGACAACTTGGATTGTACAAATTAAGTTTAGGTGTAACTCCCTCGGTTCCAAAATATACTAATTTCTAAATTGTTTAGCAAATACTAGAGTAAGGTCAAAAGGAATTTTAAGTCACTTCAATTGTTAATTTTTGAATTTTGAATTGCTTAGATTTTCTTTCTAGCCATCTGATTGGCTTTGAAATCATTGAAGCGATGGGAATTATGGGAATCAACACAGAAATCCTTGTTATACTGGGATACAAAATTTAGATTTCCCACGATACAAAATTTAGATTCCAAATATCCTTATATTTTGAAACGAATGGATGTAATCAAGTAAGTTGGCTTCGGCACTTGTCAATACGCAAATGCTTTGCCGTACATGGCAAGCAGTGCACGCACATGCAGAATATATACAAAAATGCAACGCAAGTAAAATAGATGAGCAATGTGACCACCGTCTTTGTACAGATGACTTACCGCTAACGGCAGATATAACTTTACAGACAACTGGATAATAATGCTGATGGGTGATAGATTATTCATCATCAGTTTATCATTAGAATACGGCACAACTGTTCTGTATAGGATGCCGTCCTTGCTTAGCAGTACAGATACTACTAAACGATAAATTACAGCAAGGACGGCAAGTCGGCAACTAACAACGGGTTCTTGTCACTTGTCAAGACAAGAGGCTATAGAGTTTAGACGGCTAAATAACATCACTTTTCAAACCTAATAAAACGGTAAGCATTCATGTAGCTGTTGTGCTGGTGTACAAATTGACTGATGCAAGCAATAAATCAGTCAAGATTTACCAAAAGACATGTATTAATCACCAGATAAGCACCTTTAATTCGCTGCGGCCTGAATTGACAAAAGGTGGTTAGCTGATTACAACGGTCAAAATGTCATTTATAACCCTACAACCAACAGAGCTTACATGTAGTACTACAAAATTTCATTGGTCACACTGCATTGAGGATGATCAGAGGTACATTCTTCCAGAATTTCATTTTTAAACAGCAATGTACGTTCCATGTGCACGCCGAATTCTTCGAAGAATAGGAGGTAGCATCTTTATATTGATCTTTGCTGGCAAGCATACTGATAGATGCAAACAAAAAAAAATTACCATCAAGTTTTATTTGTAACCAATCGTGCCTTAAGAGAACATGAGCCACAGCCAAGAACAACAGATGATGGAACAGAATCAGAAGTGTGCAATTCCATCTCTCCGTCCTCCCTGACTGAAATTCCAATCTGACCAAGTTCACGTGAAGTGATTGAGAAATAATCACCACACCTACAAGGATACAAAAGCTCCACAGAATCAGCAGTACTTTCAACGATCATGTCATCAATTTCAATTTCAGTTGCAACAATTTCAAGGTTCTGTCGGGAAGATTGCAGTTGCTTATCATATTCTGCTCTAGATTTGGGATAACGTAGGATTTCCCATGCCTTTTGCACACTGAGAAATTCATTTCGCTCACTGGAAGACACCAATGGATTGAGAGCCATCTGTGCTTTGTCAGGATGTGTATTTAGTACAGCAGACTTATATGCTGCACGAATTTCATCATATGTAGCATCTTTCCTCACGGATAGAACTTCGTACAAGGTCTCCTGGTTGGAAAAGTTGCCTCCTTCAAGCATGTCTGAATAACTGTCTCTAGACTGGGCAAGGGAAAAAAAAAGTGGTTCAGCAAACATGGAACAAAAAAAAGTATGTAATTTATGTCTCATAACCTTCTGCGGCAGAAGTATTATGACTTAAGCAGAATCGTAATAACATAACATTTGTGCAAATCTGAAAGAAGGTGCATAGGAGCACCTCTCTGAAATATAACTTCTAAAAAACCAAGGCAGTTTAAAGAACTGGTATATTGCTTAAGATTTTGCAATGTCATGACACAATCTTTCCATTGAGGGGGACAGATTCAGATTGGGACTCTTGAGTTTATAGTCACAGATCTGTTACAATTTTACATTTGGCATTGCATATTGTTTTCACAGATTATCTAATTGATTATATGGATAAACTAAACATTTTAAGAAATAAACTTAAAAATAGCTTAGAAAATGTGGTTTAAACAATGCAGTAGAAGAAAGTTTTCGAGAAAACATATTTTTAGAGGCATGATCAAATAAAGTAGCCAAAAAGAACAGGGCCGCAGAGGGCACTTATTGCAAGATTATAGATTCATAGCATGACTTTAAATATGGTGATATAATGATCTACTCTTTCCAAACTTGGGGCAAAAATAAAGTGCCTACTGAAGGGATTAGCAACCTCACAAATAGGTTGACCCTGTGGGTGGGATTGCCTAAACTGAAGTACAAATTTCGGGTTTTGACCTAAAATCATCAGATGAGTGCAAAATTACTTAACATCGAGTTTAATCGTAATCATCACAACCTAGCAACGTCTGTCCTTCGGCATCTGCACATGTCAGTATCCAGCCACTTCATCAATTCATCGTAGTATATAGAAGAAACTGCTCCGCTGATCGAGACAAGTTCTACACACGATTTTGCAGCAGCAAGAACAATTCTAAGAAAACAGATACGGAGGTTAGCAACTATCACCGACAAGCAAAATAACGGCGAAGGTCTTGACGGCCGATGCAGCCTTGTGGATCGCAGGGTCGACTGCTTGCGCGGCGAAGTTGCGACGCGCGAGGCGGCGAGGGGAGGTGCGGCCGATGCGGGGTACGTGAATGGTTTCCGAACCTGGGCCGCCGTCAACCGCTGGTCGAGGCGGCGGCCGGTGCGGCGGCGCAGCCGACGGGCAGAGAGGAGGAGGGGAGGGGCGGCGCCCCGGCGGAGTTGATGGGGATTGGGGAATCGCCCGACTAGGGATTTAGGTCGTCCTCATTGGCTCGTCCGTTGGATGTGAATTCAAGAGTTGATTAGCAGCCGTCGGATCGAATTGACCACATAACATGCAACTGACAGATTTTTCTTTTCCCTCCATATTGTTTTAATGTTTTTAGGACGTTTCTGAAAGGCAACGAGAAAGAAAAACGAACGCATGACAATTGACAAAGATGAAACACATGTGGACTGGACTACTCGAGTCGAGTGAATTATAGGCGAACGTCTGACAAAGCAGTGACAGTTCCAGGACACCATGAGTCCATGACAGAGAGGATGTAAAACTCCGTCCGTGTTCATCCAAGAACTTCCCCCAGGCTTTGAAATCCTACTACACCAACTATTCAATCTTTGTCCTCCTCCCGTTCTCTCTCTCTCTCTTCCATCCATATCATTAAAGAATCTTATATGATCAACTGTGATGCCACCCAATTATCCGCAGCAGAATCTTATGTGCATCGCCCAATTATACTTGCCAATCTGCCGTCACCTCACCTGTTCTGTGTTCTGTTCACCCCCCACCCACGGGCGCCTCCCGTTCTTCACGCACGCCACTCCCCCACCGCAACTCACCAACCAGCCATCCTCCACTCCCAGAGTCCCAGTCCGCACGCAGCCAGCGACCCAACCGCGCGGCTCGCATACTGTTTCCGCTCCAACCCACGGGGGCACGGGGGGGCGCGTGGCGGCAGCCACCCGACCCAAGTACAGGTCGTGACGAGCGGTGACAGCACACCACTAGGCCGCACGCTAGGCCCCGCGCGTACACGTACGCGCGCTGCCGTTAAAACTACCCGCGGCGGGAGGAGTCTCGCGCGCCGCGCCCGCGAGTCCACGACGCCCACCACACCGCACACACAGACACACACACTCCTCTCCGCCCATAAGCTAAGCAGCTACCACCGTCCCGTCTCCTCTCCTACCTAATCCTATCGTTATCTCCTCCCGTCCCATCCAACCCCGCCCCGTAATACCCCCCCTCCATAACACCCACTGCCACGAGCCCACGACCGCATTAGCATTAGCATTAGCATAAGGGAGGGAGGGAGGGAGGGATCATTAGAGGAGGAGCACAGCACATGGCTGCCGCGGCCGCCACCGTGACGGCGGTGCAGCCAGCGGCGTCGAGCTGCGGCAAGCGCGACGGCGACAATGCGTGCGTCGTCGACATGTGCGCCTCTCTCAATCTTCCCCGTCGTCCCTTCTTCCTCTTCCTGACATGTTATCACGTCACGCGCGTGCGTTCACTGCAGGCCCAGGAAGGCGAAGAAGGGGAGGTCGCCGCCGGAGGAGGAGGTGGAGGCCTTCCTCGCCGCGGCGGAGAGCAGCGTGGCGCGGCGCTTCGCGGCCAAGTGAGTACTAAGTACATTACGGCAGCATCGCACGGTGACATCGTCTCAGCGCGAGCGAGCTGTGGCCTTTCTGTGACCGTAAGGTTTGGTTTTCTCGGGGATTTATATAGCTATAGCCCTTGCACTCGCAGCATCGGCACGGCAGTGGGCCTGTAAAATTTTCCGCTGCTGCTGAAGCTCGCGAAGTGCAGCTTGTCAGTGTGGTGTTGTTGCACTCGCAGACAGTAAAAACGCCAAATGGGGTTACTGTACATGCCTCTGGGCTTGTGGTTTCCTCTGTATTTTTCTCTTGCTTTTTGTATGCTTAGGCACCGTTTAGATCCCGAACTTTTTTTTTTCAAACTTTTAACTTTTCTGTCACATCGAATTTTCTTACACACATAAATTTTTAAATTTTTCTTTACATCGTTCTAATTTCTTTAAACTTTTAATTTTGACGTGGAACTAAACACAGCCTTATTCTATTATGCCAAATGGAGTTCTGCTTTTTTGGAAGGAATGCTGCTCAGCTGCTAGTGTAGAACCTAACAAAGTTACTGCACAGCTTGGAGTCTTGGCATCCTGATCAGGTCTCTAAAATACTTGGAGCTCTAGAGATCATGGGATAGCTCGAACAACAATACCTTTTCTCCATCGTAATCCTGGCTTCTCAACTCCAAGTGGACTTCTCTTTTCTTAAAAAAATCCAGCTGGTTCAGCCTGTGCTGATGTTCTCCAACTGGGACAGGCTGTAGAGTTTTCATGCCACCACTGCCCCAAAATTTTGAAAAATAAATTGGTTCTTTTTTCCTGTTTTGCCAGTTCGAGGGTTTGCCAAATGTGAAGTACTATTAGTGGAGGAGTAGTTAGTAGTGTTCAAAATGCTGCCAGGGCAACAATAACCCGTGTTGTAGTAATAACGTTTGTATCTTTTGGCTGTGTTAAAGGTACAACTATGACATCGTCAAGGACGCTCCGATGGATGGCCGGTACGAGTGGGTCCGGGTACGCCCGTAAAGAGGATATGTGGCAACAGCCAGTCAAAATGTCAGGAGGATGCACAGACCAATCCTGTCCTAATGAATCTTTTCTTTACCCATGTATATGTAGTTACTCGGTTACTCCATGTCATGTGTTTAGCTGTAATTTATTTAAGCTCACGAGATGACTAATCATGTAAAAGCTCACCTTGTACGTTAGCAGTAGATGCTTCGCCTGTAACGCATATGCTTAACTTGTCGTTATCCGTGGAATTTGTTGTCGTCTCCGTTTCTAGGCCTGGTTCTTTTCTTCAACTCTAAACTTAAATTTTCTTCAACTTTAAACTTCATTTTTTTTTCGTTAGCATGTTTTCAAAAATTTTCTATATAAAAGTTATTTTAAAAATATAAATAAATTTATTTTTAAGTATATAATACTCCCTCCGTCCTAAAATAAGTACAGTTTTGCACTGTTCATGTTTAACTTTTGACCGTTCGTCTTATTTAAAATTTTTTTATGATTAGTATTTTTGTTGTTATTAGATGATAAAATATGAACAGTACTTTATGTGTCACTAATTTTTTTCAAATTTTTCATAAATTTTTTAAATAAGACGAACAGTCGAACGTCTGACAAGGTTCCCCACGACTGCACTTATTTTAGGACGGAGGTAGTATTTAATATTTAATTAATGGGACAATTGATTATTTGACCATGTTTTAAAGTCTAACTATCAATTTGACTCTACTTTTTTTAGTTTGCTTATTTGACCCTGCTTTTAAAAAAACGAACCTTCCATCTGACCCTGTATTCTTAACACCGTTAAGATTTGATTTAAAAAAAAATAAAATATAATTAAAATTCATAATACCCAAAATACTCTTAGAAACCATACCCATCTCTAGCCCTATCCACATGTCTCTCCATGTCTCTCTCTCCTGCAAGCGAGTTGCGGCGGCGGCACTCGGCGGCGGCGTCGACGCGCGCAGCAGGGAGGGAGGCGGAGGCTGGCGTGCAGCGCGGGAAGGAAGGGGAGCCGGGCCTGGCGACGGAGACGGCGGCGGCGGCATCTGCATCGGTGCGCGGGGAGGGAGGCGGAGGCCGGCGCCGGCGAAGGGAGGGAGGGAAGCCGGGCCTGGCGGCGGCGGCAGCGGCGTCTGCATCGGCGCGCGGGGAGGGAGGCAGAGGCCGGCGCCGGCGAAAGGCAACGACAGTGGGCGTCGGCGTCCGCGCGCAGCGGGGAGGGAGGCGGAGGTTGGTGCGCGAAGAAGGGAGGGAGGGGCGGCGGCGACGGCAGCCGGCGCCGAAGGGAAGAAGCGACGCGGAGGAATGAAAGGAGGCGGCGTCAGAAGAAGAAGAGAGGAGAGGAGAAGAGAGAACTGACAGGTGGGTCCCACATGTAATAGGGTCAAATGAGTAAGGGCAAAAGGGACCTTTTGTGCTTCAGTTAACACCGTTAGAAGCCCTTAACAGAATAAAGTCATACCGTATCTTCAATTTTGAAAAGAAAGGTCAAATAAGCAAAGTTGAAAAAAGAGGGTCAAATTGGTACTTAGCTTTCAAAAAAGGGTCAAATACACAATTGCCTCTTAATTGGGTTAATTAATTATATGCTAATGAGTTTTCTCTTTTTCACGTGCAATAAAAATCTTCCTCCACCACCAGGAGGAATTATTCTGAACCCATGAAAACTGTATACGCTACTCCTAGTAGTACCATTTTGTGAAGTTGTACAGGAACTTCCGTTTTCTGCCCACAAGTTTTTTTTTATACAAACGGAATGCAATCTCCCTGCTTTAGAGAAGTATATCTACATGGCACTGTTTACCCTTTCAGTTGCTTGCAGTCTCGCACCCTGCAAACAGATCAGATGAACTATACACTTGGACAGTTTCTCCTTTGGACGAGAACTGATAAAGAAAACTTCTTTCTTCTTTTTTCTTTCTCTGATTGGCAAGGTTCCAACTGCTCAATTTAACTTGGAAGTTGAGTCTAAAATCTGAAGTAAAGTTCTTGAGCTATCTAAAACTAACTCTACATCTCTAATCTATTTTGTGAAAGCATTGTAGGTAGACCATTCTTTTTTAAATGCAGCTGAAACTATTTGATTGAGCTCCAACTCTAATAGTAGTGAAGCTCTGCCTAACAGAATCATAGCCTCTCTTTTGGAATTAAACTTTTCTACTGTCAGCAGATACCGGCGTTCTTCGCCATGGCGAGTGACGAAGCGAACCTTTGCGTTGAGGCATTCCGTTGCATGTGGACATGCTGAATTCGTGTTAGGAATTTGAAAACACCATGCCTGGAGCAGCAGGAATTTGGTTAGTATTCACAAGAAGCGATATCCTCACTTAGAGGGCTTCATGTAAAAAAATTGCTTGAAGAACAGGCATCAAGAATTTTCAGGCCTGGATTGCAACTTGCAAGCACATCCTTATGTGTGCTTAGATAGTTAGATGATCCCCACGGATACACAAAGGGCTCCCTGCCACAGAAGAAAATATTCTAGTTCTACACAGCATTGTTTTCCAAGATAAGTTTGACAATGAGCATGGAACGATCTTATATATAACATTCAATTGAGCTATTCCCACAAACTCAGACAACTGAGCTATACAACATATGCAGTTATTCGGTTTCTCCCGGCTGGGGTAAATATGGGAATGTTTCAGCTACGCACACAGACAACAAAACGGAGCAAGAAGCCCAAGGTTGTACGGTATGCCGATAGCCTGTGTAATTGTCTTTTTTGCACTGTTCTTCCTCGTGACTAGACGATGAAATATGATGTATCTCATGTCCACAGACTATAGCTTAGCAAGGGTCTGACTGTATGACGGATCAATGCACACAACAACCTGGAAAGGTTCCAGAAGAAAAATCTATTAAGTCACATTTGAGAAGATAAGAACAGAATCATATTTCATCATATAAGCGATGGTACCTTGCCAACACTCTTGCCAGAATGAAGATATTCTACCGCATCAGGCGCAGAAGCTACACCCACGAATTTCTTCGGGTCAAGGGAAACCTGTTGTATGCATCGTGTCATGCAAAGCTAAATTTGCAAATAAAAAGCATATATATATTATACATATTCGCTATTACTTTAGGAAGTTGCGTGCCAATGCTGGCTATTACTTTAGGAAGTTGCGTGCCAATGCTGGCTATTACTTTAGGAAGTTGCGTGCCAATGCTGGTTAGGAAAACGTAACACACATAATAACAAGGCCCCCTTTGATTTATAGGAATTTTAAAAGATTTCATTTCTATAGGTATTTTTCTTACATAGCCCTTTGAATCAAAGGAATGAATCCTATGTAATACCATGAAATTCCTACGGAATGCCTATTCCCATGCAAGTTTTGGAGGAACTACCTCATGTTAAGAATCTTTTGAGTCTTTATCTATCTTTAAATTCTTGTGTTTTTCCTGCGGCTCAATCAAATGGCCATTCCTATGTTTTTCCTGTGTTTTGCAATCCTCTGTTTTACACTTGTATTTCTATCAGAATCCTATGCTTTTCTTATTCCTCCGTTTTTCATTCCTGTGATTCAAAGGGGCCCTATTACTGATAAAATCAAAGGAAGAAGAGCTACTCCTCAAAGATCAGAAGCCCAGGGCTGCTGATTGCTCACTGATGGCCCAATAGGGAGAGAGAAGGAGCAGAGAACGAAGAAAGAGATCAGAGTAAGCGAGCAAGCAGCAGTAGTGATAGTACCGCCTTACTCGTTAGCAGGAGTTTGAACCAGATTATAAATCCAGTCGAGTCTGACTATAATCCTCTCGTTAACCATCTTACACAAAGCGAGGGCAGACATCATAAGCGGATTATTAGGCGAGAGTGATCTATCCAAAAAGCTAAATGAGAAGCTGAGAATACTGAAAATAAAAAAGAGTAGAACAGACTCAAATATTTAGTTTGCAGAATAAGGTAAATACAGATATTATATAGCTAGGGCAAAATCTATTTTTGGCCCTCAACTCTTGTTGGAGCCTAATTTTCACCTTGAATGAAAAAGGGGTTATTTTTCATCCTCAACTAACAAAACCGAGCACTATTCCATGGTGGTTGTGGTTGACATGGTAGTTGTTCCTGCTGACCTGAACTTATATGATTTAAGATACGTTGATGTGTACCCAATTAAGTGGCACCTAAGTCACTAAAACATGCATAATGATGAGCCTGTCCTAACGAAAACCACTGCTAAGGTGTTATTTATCCGATTTTGAAAATTGGGTGTGAAGACAAATGGTTTTGAATTCAAGTGAAAAAAAAGGGGGCATGAAGAATAGTTCAAGGCCAAAAGTAGAATTTATCATATGGAAAATAAAATGAAGAATAGAAATAATACCAAATTAAATGTGTGTGATTATCCTGCATAAAAGAACTTTGAGGCTAGTTCTAGTTCCAAGTGGTTCCCAACTAGATAGGATACTGGAGTCCCAAAACTTTACTTCAAGTAGTACTTCAAACGTTTAGTTCCAATTTGAAAAGCGAAAACAAAGACTCCAGTAAAGTTTTTGAGAAAATCTAAAATAGAAATTTGAAAAGCATTAGATGTCTGAGACAGTGATAAGACTGGTCACCTGGGAGGCCGGGACTACGTGCTTTGGCATTATTTAAAAGCAATACAATAGTGCAATGTTTTGTACATATGGCAACACCAATGTATCTTGCCTAGTTAGGCAATAAAAGTAGCAGGTTAAGGTAGTAGGCCTTTGTAAAGTGGGTCCCATGCCATGAGAAAAAAGTACTGTATTGCTTTTTCAGTTGTTTTTGTCCAACTCAGCATGCAGTAGAAGCACATCCTTGTGTTGAAAAGAGAGAGAGAGAAAGAAGAAAGAAAGAGATTTTTATTTTTTTTTATTCTTACAACTGGGTCATAAGCTTACTACTTATTAGTATTTGTTATTACTATCCACTTCCACAATGCTTATTACCAGGTCATGGGAATACTTTATTGCCTAATACCTACATTTTCATAAGATTGTGGATGCCAGAACAGTATGAAGAGAAACAAGAAATGGTAGAATAATTTAAGGCTTTTGTTATTTGTGTATCTTCGTTAGATTTCTGCCTCATCACCCAAATAAAGGTCCTACTGATGTAGCTTCGTTTTGACCCTAGTCATGCATAGGGCCAAACAGAAATTTACATTGGAGGCTCGAGGCATACCTTTAGCTTTCCAGAGGCATACAGGTCAAAAAGTTTGTCAAGATGATCTTGCCACAAGTGAGCATACTGGATTAGGAAAAAACCAGCCTGAAGTTGACAAGGAAAGAACTCGTTA